CAGTGCCTGTATTAGCTGACTGGTGACTACACACACATACATACACATACTCACACAGTCAGTGCCTGTATTAACTGGTGACTGCACACACACACGCATACACACACACTCACACTCTCACACTAAGTGCCTGTATTAGCTGATTGGTGACTACACATACACACACACACACACACAGTGCTTGCATTAGCTCATTGGTGACTATACACACACACACACTCACAGTGTCTTTATTAGCTCATTGGTGACTACACACACAGTTCCTGTATCAGCTGACAACTACCTACCAAGCACTGAAATGAAAAACCCATCATCAGCCTTAGCAAAAACCTTTGTTTTAATCCTTTGGAAATGTAGAGAAATTTAAATATAAATAACCCCTACCCCCAGTATTGTCTAAAAACTGGGAATTTTGCAAATCATGTCAGAATGCTGAAGGGGTGTGATTACCCTATACAGTATGTGATTATCAGAAACATGTCTGGGTAGGACTCCTACACTACTGGAGTGGAAGGTGGCATAGCTCATAAGCCCACAAGATGGTGCTCTTTCCACACGGGAAACAAGATTTTCCATCAGCACAGGTTGTCCGCAGAGTGGGACATTGGGGCTTCAAAAGGGAAAGGTGGTGCTGCTGGTTCCCTGCATCCACCAGGGGTTGCATTCAGGCCTCAGCTTCTTGGCAGCTCTGGGGGTGAGGCTTTCAGCCAGAAGTGCACCGTTCAGGGGTCCTGACCCCGTGCTCTGGGCTGTCCTAAGCCCAGCCGTGGCATTCTGCATTTAAAGAGGCTGCTTCAGGTGCTGTGCTCCATTGTTTGTCACTGCACGTAGCAACAGCTGTTCTGGGCCATGGGAGATGCCCAGTGTCCAGCAAAGCTGGCATTCTGTCAGGTGCTTGTTTTTTTTTTTTTTCTCCTAGTTCCCCAACGAGGGTCTTGGTTCAAACCAAGGACTCCTGTATTTAGCAATATTTATTCAGGCAGGCAGTTTCCAGGAGTTTCACTCAGTGGCACAGTAACAAAATAAGTTTAAATTTAGTTTTGCATTTAAAATATAGTTAAGTATATTGAGAAAACTTTTGAACATTCTGATGTTTTTTTCATACAAAAAAATTCTTTCCCCCTTTCCCTCTCTTCCTAACTGGCATCTGCTAATTCAGGGCTTTTGGTGTCTCTCCTGGAGACATGCCTGACACTAGGTGGCAGACTTGCTTTAGACCTGAAGGTGAGAAATGCAGTGTCCTGTAGTAGCAGTGGTTAGAACTTGTACTATTTCTTTCAACCTTTCAACTAGTTCTTGAGCTCAGCATGAGGCCCAAGACTCCAGAATGGTAAGTGCCCAAGATCACACAGCTAGGAAGTGGCCAATCTGGGACTCAGGGTCCAGTATGTATGACCTCAGAGTGCTGCCAGTCCCTCTGGGTTGCTAATGCCAGCTTCTTCTGGGGAGGCCAAAAGTTCAGTTTGAAAGTAGATGGGTGGCCTTCCCCACTTTCGGTCTTTGGCCTGCATCTCAAGGGGAGAAGAAAGGCTGCTTTGGGTAATGGGGCGGGGCGGAAGCGGCTTGCTCGGGAGCATTGAGAGTAAAACCATCTTCATGTTAGGTCACCTGTGAGGGCCACCAGATGCATGCAGCTGCAACACCTGAAACTTTTGAAGGCACCAGCCTTTGTTTCAGGACCAGGTCTTGCAGTTGTTGACTGTGTCTACGTGTTCACTCATTTATAATTGCTTTTCTACTATTTGCTCTCTTGAATTTCTAGGTTTCTGATAGTGCTAGCAGAAAACCAGTGTCGAAAGAGCTTTGTTACAGCTTTTGAAAGATCTTGAGCAAGGATCAGAGTGTGTGGTGCCCTTCACTCCTTCATATATGCAGCACAGAGAAACAGAAGTTCACCCTAATGTTTTCTGACCTGGGCAAGACATGCTGATCTGAGCCTGTCATCCCCCAGTGGTCCCTTTATTCTTTATTCTTGACTTTGTTCCTGTGAGTTCTTAGGTATCCCGTTCGTTGACCAGGGTCCACCGCACATTACTTCCTCTGGGCCTTCTGCAGTTGGGAAGCAGGTTTCAGCACCTTCATTGGAATGATATACTGCTGTGTTTTTTCTCCAGGAACAGTGGAGACAGCTGGATTCTACTCAGAGGGAACAGTACTGGGATCTCATGCTGGAGACTTATGGGAAAATGGTCTCAGGAGGTGAGGGCATGGGTCCATTTGATAGGAGTTGAAGAAAAGACTGGGAAATTTGGGTATTTCTAGAGACATCTGTTCAAGGTTTGTGGGTAAAGGGAATCATTGACGCTGCTATATGTTCTTACAAGTAAGAACATCCTGATACTGTTAGAACTGTGCAATTCTGTTACATATAGCAACACCTTTAATGTATGAAATAAATGAGCATGGCGATACTGCACCCCACCCTCCATTCCTTATTTTTCCTTTTTTTGAGGCAGGGTCTTACTCTAGAGCCTGGAACTTGCTGTAGAGACCAGGCTGCCCTTGATCTCACAGAATCCACTTGTCTCTGCCTCCTGAGTGCTAGGATTAAAGGCCTGCATCACCATGCCCACCTATGGCATTCTGCTTTGAAAGATGCTGGAAGTGAGCATCAGATCAAGGACTTACTCTTCCTCAGCTCCCCGGGCTGAGTTAAGATGGAATCAACTGTGACTGGCCAAGTCCATGCTCTTTTCCTACTAAACTGGACTGCATTAAAAAGGTGGAGTCCCTGTCTTGATCTTTGCACCAGCCTGCTAGTAATCCCCAGGCTCTTGTCACCTGTCTAAATTCATATTATCATGGAATCCACCATATATCCTTATCTAGTTCTCAGGTGAGTGCTTCAAAGTGACTCCATGTCTAGGGTTCTCTTTTAAAAGACACAGTTTGAATTCTCAGAGTTCATTGTTCATCTAAGCTCACAAAATTTACCTCTCAGTAGCAGGCACATCCAATTCCAAGCCTGACCTTACTAACTTCGCAGAATATGGGGAAGAGCTGGCGGGGCTGCACCTTCATGTGACAGAGAAGACGCCAAGACCCACCTGCAAAGGTCAGTGATGTCACCGATTGCCAGCCATCTCAGACCTCCTCAGATTACGTGGGAGGTGGGAGGTAAGGTGTGTATTCAAGCACCAGTCAGAGCTAACTGTGGTCCCACTCGAATACCAAGAGCTGGTGGCTTCAGGGATGTTGATGTATTGATTTAACCATGACAGAAAGACCACATGTTGGATCTACTTTCAGTCTTGTCTATTTTGATAGTTTTTCTTCTCAGAGAGAATTAATATTCAAACAAAATGAGGCCAATATAAGTAGTTAGAATTTCCTCATAAAGACCCCATACAATAACCATTATACTAACAAATTCAGAGACAATTCTGTTTGGAATTTTAAAAAATTATTTTACTGTTATTCTGTATTTATGGTCTGTGTTTAGGGGCCATGCTGGGCCATTGCATGTGTGTAGAGACCAGAAGACGGCTTTATGCAATCTTCTTCAACTATTATGTGGGTTCTGGAGATTAAATTCAGGTTATCAGACTTGTGTGGCAACTACTGTTATCCACTGAACCATCTTGCTGGCTCAGAACTAACCTTTTCTTAACCCTGATTATAGTCATTAGTACCACCTAACCTCAACAAAAAAAACCAGAAGAATGTCCTGTTCAGGTTTTGTGTACCTGGACCTCATTAAATAGCAACATTAACTGATGCTTAACATGTTTGAAGACTGGGAATAAATGTTATTTTCTTGTGCTGAGCATCCCTCTGCTTTGGATGCTTTCTAAAACATGTCAGTCATAGAAAATGTAACAGTTTACTCGCTCTCATGTGTTCATTCATGCATGCACTGAATTCTAGAGCCCTGGGAAAGGAAAAGGACTCGGGGTAGAAACTCTGTGATAAGTTACCCTTTTCCCAATGGAGGGTAATTATTTTCTTGTGCTAATGTATTACAGAGAACAAGAACAGATAGATATGGCTTTATTATCAATTTTTGGGGGGCCTGGGAGTCAAGCCAGATTTTATACATGCAAAGTACATATTATACTCAGTTCTAATTTTAGTTTGAAGCAATACATTCACTATTTCACAATGGATCCTTTGGAGCAGTTGATTTCAAACTGTGTCATGTCAGCAGGGAAGACTGGTGAGCAGAATTGGAAGATACTTCAATGAGTGTTACCCAGGAAGAGCAGGCTGTCTGTTTCACTTAGTGGGATTAACATTGCAAGTTTAAAAAATTCTAAATTTTGTTTGTATGGGTATTTTGCTTGCATTTGTCTATGCACTACATTCATGCATGGTATTCAAGGAGGCCAGAAAAGGCCAACAGATTCCCTGGAACTGGAGTTGCAAACAGTTGTGAGCTTCCACATGGGTGGTGAGAACAGAACCCAGGTCCTCTGCAAGAACAGTAAGTGGTCTTACATGCTGAGTCCATTATCATTATTATTATTATTATTTTATCATTATCATTATTCTATAATTACTGTTGTTAGATAGCTGTTTGTGGCACGGTTTTACCTTCCCCTTAAAGATGATTAAAGGAGCAGTAGGATTTTGTTTGTGATATTCAACTTACTTTATCCTGTTTCTGTTTTGATTTGGGTTTTTTTTTTTTTTTTTTAATCCATCCTTCTTGCTGACATGGTGCCATTAGATGCTGCCATTCATAAGCCTGTCTTTGTAGCCTGAGATTGAATTGAGAGAAAGGGGTATTAGAAGTAATATGGGAAGACTAATTTGGTAGTGATGGGGCCAGATGGGATGAGAACACTTAAGAGAAGCCTGTGCAGGGCAGAAGTGGGGATCCAGGTGCACAGGGAAGAGACTTTGAACTAGGGCAGAAGCTATGGTGACAAGACAGGAAAGGGCCAGCTGGAAAACTCAACAGTGGACCACACTGTCATAAAGGAGTAAGACCAGGTGCAGAAGTCATGAGAGAGAAATGCTCTTTTCTTTGACCATGTGGAAGGACAGTTCAGAGTGAAAGCAGATCAGCAGGGTCAACCTCAGAAAGTTGTATACTTGCATTTGTAGTCAGAGTCCCAAGGGATAAACAAAACAAAACAAACTACAACCAAACCCAGATATGTGAGTCCCAAGTAGATATTGTAACAGCAGAGAAGAATCATGAAAAAAGTTGGAGGATGCTTCATGGTGTCACAGAAGGAGCCCAGAAAATGGAGTGGGCCTGTCAGGTTTGCTGCTGATGAAGGAAGAAGCAGGGATCTATGGACAGAGCTGCTTCTCTGTGGGGGGATGTAAGGGAACCACTGGGGAGTTTTGCCTGTGTTGCTTAACAAAATAAAGTTAGAAGTCAATTTTAAAAAGATAATTTGCAAAGTAGACACAGAAGAAAATGAGTGGATATTTGCATCCTGTTTGGATTGGAAACATGTTTCTATGTATAGAGGCGATCAAAGAAATTTTTGAGGAAAAAGATTAGCAGACACACATACTTATAAAGTTAATAAAAACTACACACAAAAATATTTCCGAACAAAATTTTTGCAATCAAATTGGTATAAAACATTTTGGTGAACTTGATAGATAAATGATAGTCTATTTTATTTTTCTTAAAATAGCATTAAAGCAAGCTGATGAGAGCAAATTACTTTCTCAGTAAAATTTGGACAGCAGTCCTGGAGTAGGAAAAATAGCTCCCAGATGTGGGGGAGAAGGATTCATCCTTTCATCACTGAAGAATTAACACTTAAAATAACAGAAATCCAGTTTTCACTGGTCTACATATCAAAAGCATTTAGTCCTCACATATTGGCCCTCCCCATTTCCCCAGCTTAACAAAAAGCAGAGGAGGGGGAACCCTTCTTGGAAGTCGGGTGCCTGAAGTTAGGCAGCTGGAGCAGTAGCTGGAGAGACGCGCAGTGGTTTAGGACTCCCACTGCTCCTGAGAGTGGGATTGGTTCTCAGGGTCTCCATAGCAGCTCACAAATGTCTGTAACTCTAGTCCCAGGGAATCTGATACTCTCTTCTCACTTACATATGCTCCTGTGTGAGTGTGGTGCACAGATATATACTAAGGCACACACACGTAAAAGAAATCTAAGAACAATATTTTTTTTTAGGAAAGAACCCTGTTCATGCCATAGGTATAGAAGTTGTGCTCTGAGGAATTCCTTTCAGGTATTGATCAGAAAATGGGCAAGCACTTGTGAAAAAAATTGCTTGTAACAGTAATATTTATTGTAGTAAATACATGATTAACAGTATAGGTTTCCACAGTGGGGAATTCTTAAATTCGCAATGTTTTTATTTTAACTCTTTCATGGTGGCTGTTACTCAACTTTTTAAGGTGCTGTTTATAAAGACATCTTTAAAGGTGAAAGACAGTGCTTTACGCTTTGAGTAGGATTTGTCCTGGCACTCAAGGAAGGAACGTGTTCAGTTCTAGTTCTCTGACATGTACCTGGACCTGGAAGGCTATTGTAAACGTGAGGATAAAAAAGAAAACAGTCTCTTGCTTATATTTTTGTTTGGTTTTTAAAATTTTGAGGCAGTCTTAATAGACCTAATGGCCTTGAACCTGCTTGGTAGCTCAGGGTGATTACTTTTTTAAAGGATGAATCTTGCTGTGTGGCATAGGCTGCCCTTGAACTTGTGATCTTTCTCTCTCACCTCTCCATTCTGAGATTATAAGTATATGAAACTATGCCTGGCACTAAATAGAAGCTTAGAGTTATAGGGATAAGGTAATTAAAAAATTAAGTACACCTTCCAACCAAAATAAAATCTTTATCATATGTATCATAAGTAATAATCAGAAACCTACATTATGAGAAAAAATGTAATTCCTTACACAAGTTAATAAAGCATGGATAGCTGGGTATGGAGTCCAGTACCCAAATTCCTAGTTACTCAAGAGGCTGAGCAGGGGTATCACCTGAGCCTAGGAGTTTGAGGCTATCCTGACCAACACAGAAAACCAAAAGAGTACGAAAAACATACAGAAATAGCAAGGTACATACAACATTTCTATGTACCTAGTGTGGCACAATATAGCTTTATTTGCATTGAACCTATACTAAAATTACTCCTTAATGAAGTTTATTAATTAAATTTTAGTTTCTTGGCCAGGTGGTGGTGACACATGCCTTTAATCCCAGCACTTAGGAGGCAGAGGCAGGCAGATCTCTGCATTGAAGGCCAGCCTGGTCTACAGAACTATGTCTAGGACAGCCAGGGCTACACAGAGAAACCCTGTTTTGACCCCCCGTACCCCCAGCTTTTTTCTTTGGTTCTTATAAAAACATTTATGTTAAATATTAAATAGACCAGTGTCAATATTTACTATATAAATGCCATATAGCCAGATATGGAACTGTTGTTTAATGTGACATCAGTTATATTTGAAAATAGGTTATACATAGGACATGCAAGTTAAATTAGGAAGACTGGAAGTGGCACACACCTTTAATCCCAGCTCTTGGGACAGAAACAGGCGGATGTCTGAATCTGAGGCTAGTCTCGTCAATGAAAACTAGCCAGGGCCACAGAGTGAGGCCCGGCCTCAAAGCAGACTGGAAGGAAACTGTTGTCATGTGTGGTAGTGCTGTTGGGCGTGATTTGGTTTTCTCATGTATGTTTCCTCTTTCTAAATTCTTATTCTGATTATCTTGGGGCTGGAGGGCTGGCTCAGCAGTTGAGAGTATGTGTGTTGCCTCTTCGGGTACCTGCACTCCATGTATATATACATAAACATACCCACACACACATGATTAAAGATAATAAGCACAAATCTCAAAAAGAAAACCAACCATCTTAGCACTGTATAATGTGTTTGGGTTTTTTGGCCCTTTAGAAGTGCATGCTGTCTGCTTGTGGAGGGGTCAGAAAAGTCCTCTAGGAGCCTGCGCTTTTCAGAGCCAGAACCAATTGAATTAGCCTTGAATCTAGCACAGGCTGAGTGAGTCTGGACTGCTCCGGCACCCAGGTGATAGTGTTATTCTACATTCACTGATGCCCTCTCAGTAAAAGAAAGTTGATGCTTGCCTGGTGCCACCTTTTCATCAGTCGGATAACAGTGCATCAGTTGGATAACAGGGCAAAGCAGGTACTGCCATTTAAACCTTCTTTTTCCTTTCAGAAGACAGACAAGAAAATGACAAAGAGAACCTAAACTTGGAAAATCACAGGGACCAGGGATTGCTGGATGTTTTCTGTCAGGCATCAGGTGAGGTACCACCGCAGACTGCCTTGACTGATTTCTTTGGTGAGAGTGAGCTGCATCGTTTTGGAGGAGAAAGTGTCCCTGAGGCTCTGGAAAGTCTTCAGGGTGAGGGGACAGTGGGGCAGCCCTTTCCTCATGAAAGGGCCTCTGGTAGACAGCTAGGTCAGCACACACAGAGCTCTTCTGGAGAGCTGTCTGTCTTGTGGCTGGAGAAGAGAGAGGCCTCTCAGAAGGGACAGGCCAGAGCCCCCATGGCCCAGAAACTGCCCACCTGCAGAGAGTGTGGCAAAACCTTCTATAGGAATTCACAGCTTGTTTTCCACCAAAGGACTCATACCGGAGAGACATACTTTCATTGCCCCATTTGCAAAAAAGTCTTTCTGCGGAGCTCAGACTTTGTGAAACATCAGAGAACTCACACAGGAGAAAAGCCCTGTAAATGTGACTACTGTGGGAAAGGCTTTAGTGACTTCTCAGGCTTGCGCCACCATGAGAAAATCCACACAGGAGAGAAGCCCTATAAATGCCCCATCTGTGAGAAAAGCTTTATTCAGAGGTCAAACTTCAATAGACATCAGAGAGTTCACACGGGTGAGAAACCTTATAAATGTACCCACTGCGGCAAGCGCTTCAGCTGGAGCTCCAGCCTTGACAAGCATCAGAGATCACACTTGGGAAAGAAGCCCTGCCAAGCACCCACACCTCCGGTGCTGCCTGCCAGGCCACTGGAGCCCTGCTCACCTCTGCCTTTAGGAAGGCAACCAGAAAAAACCTCTTCTTCTTTGCAGGTTGGAAGGTGAGGAGATGGGCACTGTTTTGGCTTGGAGTATTCTGAGTTGAAATTCTTGGTTTAATATTTCTTTTTGCAACAGGAAAAGAGTGTTTGTTTGTTGTTTTAGCTGGTCCCTCTTTTGGACCTCTCGGGGAAAGACATGTCATGTAGATAGTGGCTTTAATAGCTTTCTCTGATGAGAGCCTGACCAGCATGGCCACAGTTGCTGTTGCCAATGAGAACTTGAGATAAGCTTTAGAACTGAATTCTAGAGTAGGCTGTTGCAGACAGGGAGGTTGGGAGGCCTGTGAGTGCATGCCATCTTTGTCAGACAGGTGACAAAAGTTTTTATTTAACTGTCTCTTATTTGAAATAAACTGAACTGAGTTGGTCTCTATCTTCCTTGTATCTGCTGTATTCACTGTGTGTTGACTGTCACTTCTGAGCATACCATAGTCACAGAAGAGCCCGTGTGGGAATTGAGCTCCAGGACCAGCCCATAGACACCTGTCAGGTTTGCAGTGTAGCAGAAACTAGTTAAATAAGCAAAGTTCATGCTGGGCACACCTTTATTTCAGGTAAGTCAGTCTGTGATGAGCCTTTCCTGAGTCTGTCTTGGATCACACTGATCACATGCCTCAAGTATCCCCTCTTTTTCCTGGCATCCTTCTTGGGGCTGTTATTTTTGCCAGAGTGTTTTATGTTTTAAAATGTTCTGTATTACTTTATTATCTGTAGGTTGTTAGGAAGAAGTCAATAGTGTTGATGTAGTTTTTAATACTGCCTAGGACTTTATTAACACATATGTCTAACCTGCCCAGCTGTCCTTGTAATCACAAGTTGTGTGTCACAGTTTCCTACCTTGGTATAGTGAGACTTGTATCATCACTCAGGATGCCCTTCCTTGGTCTCATTGACTCATTCTGAGCAAGGGTCAGGAAGTCAGGACAATGAGAGGGGCAGGGGTAAAACTTAAGGTGGGTTCCTGGATTCCCAGAGACATCTGTTAACTTCTTATAACGTGAACATGAGGAGTACAGATGATGCCAGCAGGAAATTGGGAGGAGCTGTTGTTAGAGTCAGTTCTGCATCCCAGAGATATACAGGATAATAGGATTGAGTATTAAATTGGGTTCTTAAAGTGGCTCCCAAAGCAGTAATGGGAATGTTTGTTCTCTCTTTCTCTGTCTCTGTCTGGTAGACTTTAAAAAATTATTTTGAGAGGATAAGTAATTACATTTTCTCCTTCCCCTCCCCACTCTCAAATTCATGGCCTCTTTTTTAATCCATGTTACTGTGTGCATGTGCGTGCGCATACGTGCACACACACATAATGTATGTATACATGTTCCTAAATGTAATGTGCAAAGTCTGTATAATGTTACTTGTTTGTTTTCAGGGCTGACCATTTGGCATTGAGCAACCGATGGGTGTGCTCTTCCCTGGGAGGAACACCTCTGCCACCCCCAGCTTTACTCACTTGTCTGTAGCTCTTTGTTTAAGGCTGAGGCCTTGTAGGCATTTTCCATCCAGTTTGGCATGTTTGCTGGCATCTTTGGTCAGCTCATATTTGGGCAATCGTGTTGGTGGACTTTATATGGGTGTAGCTTCTGTCATTTATAGGAGACACAGTCTCACAGAAACCTCCCTGATCTTCTGCTTTTACAATTATTTTCACTCCGTCTTCCGAATGTTCTCTGAGCCTTAGGGTGTGATGTGTCCATTGGGACTGGGTTCCACAGTTCTGTGTTGATTGGTTGTGGATTTCTGTAGTGGTCTCCATCTGTTGCAAAGACATTTCCCTGATGAAGGATGAAGACTACACTTGTCAGTGGGACAGCTAACTATAGATTGTTGTTAGGAATTTTTCTGGCTTAGTAAATTACTGGTTGTAGATTCTCCTCCAATGACCATGGCTTCTAGCACTGAGTACTTAGCTAGGTTCCCACTATGAGCATGGTCTCCCTCTTAAGTGAATCCTAAGTCCAATTAGAGAGCTGTTGGTTACTGCCAGGGCATGTATGCCACTATTACACCCCTAGGGTCATTGTACCATGATGGTTGTTGATGTGGTTCGTAGGTACTGTGTCAGCAGGTGTTACAGCTGGGTAGGGCTGTTGGATGCCTCTCTCCTTTGGAAACTTGGACAGAGCCTTGTGGTACCATGAAAATTGGTTCTAAGGGAGGGGGCAGTTAGGTCAGTTGCAGCTCAGGGATCTTTGGGCACTATTTCTGACATGCGTAGTATTTTCAACAATAGGAATTTACCTTCCACCTGTGGTGGGGAACTAAGAACAAGAATGGGCTATATGTTTCGGGAGTCTTGGATATCCCTGACCAAAAACTCAACAGATTCCGTCTCATGTCCGGTGTGGGGTTTGTTAGGTAGCCTTTGCCTCTTGGAGGGTGCACTGTCCGTGCAGAGGAGAAGCTTCTAAAACTAAATATGCGTATGTACATGCAGACTTAAGGGTATGGTGGTTCTAAAAAGAACATAGTATGATGATTTGTGGCTCTTTTTCAGTCATCCTTATTGTTTTATCCATTTCTCTCCATCTTCTGGATTTACCTCCTCTTCCCTTCTGTAAAGAACCCCTCCTTTCACATTTTTTCTCTTAAACCTTAAGAGTTGAGTCAGAAATTTTGCAGGGTAGGACTCCAGCTTTGTTTTAGCAAGCCCTCCAGGGGCTTGTGGTGCCTGCTCTATTTCGTGAACCACTATCTAAACAGTAATTAAATACTGCTGCAAGGATATGAAGATGAGAGAGAGGGTTCCCTGCTCCTTCTGACATTCCCTACTAAAGTCACTTCACAGAGCTGTGTGAAACCCATCAAAACTGCAGACCCCTTTGGTTTCCAGTGGACATGTCTACAGTGGGAATTCTGGAAAGTTCCAGGTGAGTAGCTTTTCGGAATAAGCTTCTCCTTGGGTCTCTCATTAGTACTGTTCAAAATAGCAGAGCTAACAGGATCTGATTGCATGATTATAGTTGTATCCGCAGCAAACAGTAAGTGAAAACCGTTATGTAGTAGGTGTATGTCTTAATCACAGATCACCATGGCAGGCTTCCTATGACAGCTGCTACCACAGCTGATGTTTTTCTGAATTTTACTGAAATATAGCCACACCCACCTATTTACATGTTGTCTAGGCTTCTTTGGGTCACATTGGCCATGGCCATGTACAGGGATTCTAGTCAAGATTGTGGCTTCCAAAGCCTTGAGTACTTACTCTGGGTCTTCACAGAGAAATGTTTCCCAAGTAGTGATGACATGGAGATGCTGGTTGATGGACACTGCCTGTGTGTGTGAGATACCCAGGAGCACAGAGGTCCAGGGCTGCACTGTGTAACAAAGTCTAGGGGTCATCCCCAGCTTGATTCTTATTGTCCTTTCACTACCGTTTATGATTCAACAGTCCTTAGAAGAGTTGGAGAATAAATCATTTTATTAGGAAAAAAAAAAAAAAAAAACTTCATTACGACAGAGTTCTCCCCTTGTTCCTGGGCTGACATTCCCAGAGCTCAGCCTCACTTCACGCAGCCCGGGTCCCCCAGAAGTGTGGTGCCTATGATTTCTTCATAAGAATTTGCGATCAGCCCTCACCCACCTGCCTGTCAGGGAGCTGCCAGCTGCCCTCCTTGGTTCTCCCAAGGCTTCTTCAAGATGCTAAATCTGGAGAAGCAAGGCAACACCAGCTAGAACCCACTTGGATGGGTTTTCTTTAGTCTTCAGATTGAAAGTCCACACAAAGGTAGGTCCTCGCTGACAAGTCTTGTACACAGGACAGGCATAAACACTTCGGCAGTCTTGCTTATCTGCTGGAATGGCCTTGAGGAACATCACAGGCATGGGAGGAGTCAGGTCCTTCAGCTTCGCCTCTGTAATGATCCCAGCCTGAGGTATGTGAAGAGAGACACTTTAGTCCCTGAGCCCAGCCAGCCAGCCTCGCTTCTGCCGGAACTCTAGGAGGGACTGGGATAACGTGCCCACTCTTCAGGGTCCTCCCATTAACCCACAATGGAAACTATACATTTCTACTTGCTCAGCATAAATCAGGTATTTTTGTTTGTTCATTTGAGAGGTCCATCTTGCTGTGTAGCCAAGGCTGTGGTGTGTCTGCCAGCAGATGCTTACGGTTTGAGGTCTTAATTGTGTCCAGCTGCTACCTCTTTGAGGTTTTGTTATGTGATCATGCCACCCCATATGCATTTCAACCTTTTGCAAGGAGATGCATTTTTTTTTTCCCCCGTAATTGGGGACAAAGAAGGGCCTTGGCCATTTTGGAACTTTTCAGATGCGTCGGTCTTATAGAATGGCTCAGTAGACTCATCTAGACTAATGTCTGTTTGGCTATGAAGTTTCTACTGATTCTAAGGTGTTTTCAGGAACAAAAGAGTCCTTAGATTAATTTGGACGTGCAGCAAGCACACTGAAGATGAGATGTGCTTGAGTTCAGAAGACTCTTCACTACTTAGCCTGCTGTTTTCCCAGCCCTGCTCAACATGAAGTTCTGAATGCTTCATGCAGAGCCTGTTACCCATGTGACCTTGACCTGCTTCTGTTATAGACAGAATAATCTGGCTTATTTTCATGGACCGTATTAAAGGGAAAGGTTGTATCGTTCTGGCTCTCTCCGAGGCTGATGGGAGGCATGGCGGGTGAGAGTGCCACTGTTCACCAGAAGGACAGGCAAGGAGGAGCAGGCAAGCTCACACTCTTCATTTTTAACATACAATAAAGCCAGCTTCAGATTGTGTTCATCACTCTGGAAAGAAAGGCAGTGCCCATTACTAGTTGCCTTCAGTACTGTGGCTCCACCAGCTGCCTAACCCGTATGATTTTCACGGTGGCTCTTCTCCCATCTGACAGTTTTATCAATGGGGTTCTTGAAAGAAAACACCAGACCACGGCTGCATTGCGAGGCCGGGGTCAGGCCAGCGAGTGCACCTACACTCTTCCCCCCTGCAGAGCCTTTGCTCTTGTCCTGTTCTTGGATGGGGAAAGTCTCAAGGAGAGACAGGGCACCTAGGTAAAAAGATTCCAGAGCACTGCACTGGGCAGTTAGTGTGCATGTCATCCAGCCCATACCTGTGTGTCCCAGCAGGCACCTTCCATGAAGAGGCCATGGATATAGGCCCCTTCCCGAGGAGGGCTTCGGAACTCCTCCCTGCTCTTCTTGGTCACATCACATTGTAGGGCCATCTGGTCTAGTGGCCATTCATTCTTGCGGGCCATGGACTGCATGATGGCAGTCAGGAAGGACTGGGGGTTGAAGAAGCCTGTCAGCCACACAGTTGAAGGCATCGCGAAGTCGCCTGTCCAGGCCTCCAGTTCTTTGATTCTATTAAGCAGGTCCAGGAACCAGGCTGCCAGGCCTGCTGTGGAAGGGTAGGC